CCCTCCCCAAATTTCCCTGACGACTGCTGGGAGTGCTAGGTTCTATTAAATCAAATCAAACAAATTGTAAAAACCAAGAAAAGAAACATACTTTCAGCTGCCATGTTGGTTTTTTCTCCCACCATTCAAGTCTTGGAGCTTCATCTGTTGGCGAATCCCTTCCTAATATGAAAAAATGCATATTATACTTGCTTCATAAAGTATGTTTGCGTGAAAATAATAGAATAGTAAAAAATAGTAAAAATAAATAAATGCGAAATTTTATAGGACAGATATAAGCTGTTCTCAAATCAAATAAAACCACCTGTTTCGACCGGTTCCTTGATTTTGGCAACTTCAACTTCTAAAGAATATTTGTTATGTATAATAAGAACGATGTACAAACCCCAAAACGCTCTACTATGTCGGTAAATATCATTTAAAAAGTTCTCACCTCTTCTCGGTAATGCTTTTGCTTTTCTCAGATTAGCTTCGCGCACTTCTGCGCTATGTTTCTCCATGGCCTTTGCTCTTTCCATTTGTTTTCTTTTTTCGGCTTCTTCTTCTTGGCGGATTTTCTCGTTGTATTTTTCTAGCCTAAATTATTCACCTTCTAAAGTAGCAGCAAATTGTCCTGTTTACCTTCGTATCTCGCGTTCCTCTTCTTCCTTTTCTTTTTGCTTTTCTAATTCGCGCCTTCTCCTGCTTTCCTCAATCTGCCTTTCAAGTTCAGCTTTGTATTGTTCTTCAGCTGACATAAACCTGAATACAAATTAAGCATAGCATCTGCCAACAATTGAGAACTATCAAAATTACTGCTTTTTCTGAGAGCTTTGTTCAACAACAGGAGCAGCATATGAAGTTTTGAGAGAATTAGCTCTTGCACGAGATTCTGGCCGAGGTGGTGGTGGCTGTGGCGCATACGCAGGCGCCTAAATTAATGACATAAGCTCAAATGCTAAAACTGCCATAATTTGCTCTATTTGTACGTAAAGTATTAACGTAGGAAAATTCTAACTTACCCGTGGGGCATCAGGTTCATCTCCGCGCCATAACTGAGATCGTCGAACTCCTGATCTCGGTTGAGGATGTGACACTAACCATGGTGGCTCTTCCTCCTGGAAATGCTTTGCAATTTTTTGAAACGAATTCTACAGTGCTATGTTGTTACAGTGTTTGTGATAAGACATTGGCCCGTAGTAAACCCCCCTTAGGATTAGATGATCT